GTGGAGATTGGAGAGGACCGGTTTGCTATCTGTCCCAACTGCAGCTTCTCGGCCAACATGGAGACACTAGACTTGTCAAAAATGAACTGCCCTTCTTGCCAGGGACCACTGACCGAAACCAAAGGCATTGAGGTGGGGCACACATTTTACCTGGGCACCAAGTACTCCGCCATTTTCAATGCCCAATTTATTAACGCCCATGGCAAACCATCTCTGGCTGAAATGGGGTGCTATGGCTTAGGTGTGACTCGGATCTTGGCTGCTGCCATTGAGGTTCTCTCTACAGAAGACTGCATTCGCTGGCCTGGCCTCCTGGCTCCCTACCAAGTCTGCCTCATCCCCCCGAAGAAGGGCAGTAAGGAGGAGGCGGCTGCAGAGCTCACAGGGCACTTGTACGACCACATCTCAGAGGCAGTGCCGCAGCTTCGTGGGGAGATCCTACTGGATGACAGGACCCATCTGACCATTGGAAACAGGCTGAAAGACGCCAACAAATTAGGCTACCCCTTTGTGATCATTGTCGGCAAGAGGGCCCTGGAAGACCCTGTCCGTTTTGAGGTTTGGTGCCAGAACACCAGTGAGGTGGCCTTCCTCACCAAAGAAGGAGTCATGGAATTACTGAGCCAGGTGCAGGTTATCTAAATGCCCCTAGCCCACCCCGCCTCATGTTGCAGCCTTTCCTGCACTCCTTTCTGGGGCTGGTCTCCAGAAACAGGGCAGCTCATGGATGATGAGCATGTTATTAGGGAAACCAATTTTTATTCAGTCATTTGTTCAAACTATTTGTATTTAAAGTCATTAACTTGGTCCCTTTCTCTGGACTAGCCATGCTGCCACATACCATTCCTTTTATACCTCAGTGTGGAAGCTTCTGTTAGGAATCAGGGAGGCAAGAAAGAGCAGACTTCTGGTCTTGTCCCTGAGGTGAGTCACTTCCCTTCTCTCAGCTGTTTCCCATGCATAGAGTGGGAGTGGCTGATGGCTGAGGGTCCATAGTCTGACTGCAGACCATTTGCTGCATACAGTCTAGAGAGTAGGCCCACCAGCCCCCCTCCACTTGAACATGTTCTCTCCCCTACTGGAGCCTCAGTTTCCCCATCTGTGACATGAGAAAATGGAACTAGATATGTAAAGTCCTTAACAGCTCTCTGTCACTGGCTGGTTCCACGAGAGGTTCATGACAGATCTGGTTCCTCTGATTCTCCTTAGTCTAAGCTACACAGAATGTTGCTATAACCAGCTAATGGCCCCAATAGATCTGGCTCTATTGAGGTGGCTGTGCACTGAGATCATGTTGTATCAATTGAATAAAGTCAAACTATTGGGTTGAGCCTCACACGTTTATTTGAATCAGTGGTAACATATGCCATCTTAATTGTGTAGTAGTACCTTGTCATGAGAGTCTTCTTTCCTTTCTTTTTCTACTGTGTCTACACTCCATTCCAAAAGGGAAAAATGGATATCTGGGAAAGTGTGTTTTAAACTGTTTCTTCCGCCCGGCCGGGCATGGTTCAGCAGTTGAGCATCGACCTAGGATCCAGGAGATTGCAGTTCGATTCCCAGTCAGGGCACATGCCTGGGTTGTGGGCTCGATCCCCAGTCGGGAGCGTGCAAGAGGCAGCTGATTAGTGACAACTCTCTTATCATTGATGTTTTTCTCTCTCTTTCTCCCCCTCTCCCTTCCTCTCTCTGAAATCAATAAAGATATATTAATTAATAAATAAACTGTTTCTTCCCACAAATATCAGAGATAGCAGGCTTCGGGTACCACTGTGACCTTGTCCTCAGTGCAGAGTTGGATACTAGAGCCACGACAGGGGTGAATACTAAGGTCTCTGCCTGAATTATGTGGAAACTAGGAGCAGACTTGAGCCACTACTACAGTGCTCCTGCTCACCAGATTAGGGTCTTGATATGTACAAATGGAACAAGAATCTGATAAGGGCAAGCTCAAAGCCACCACCTCCTGAAAATATACCTGATGATTCCTGGAAGTGGTTTTTGCTCTGGCTCCCCAGCACTCTCCTGATTAGCCCTAATGGTGTTCCTTCTTGTTCGGGGCCACATAGCTCCTTGTTCGGTGGGCCATCCTCGAGTAGTTGATGGTCAGCTCCCTGAGGCCAGGGTCCTAGGCAGATTCCAAGTGCATTGCAGTTCTTGTCTTGGCCAGCGCCAGCTGTTCCACCTGCCACACAACTTCCCAGCAGCTTGTTACTGCTAGGGTAACCCACCCCAAGTACACACCATCAGGTTCCCTAATTAAAGCATATGTCAAGCCCTAATGACTCCCAGGCCTACCACAGAGCTCAGGCCCGGCATTTAGGCCAGGAGATGCGGATTTTGACAGCAAACCTAGCAAGGCTGGATTTTGAAGCACGGGACCTTATCCTTGGCTGCACATTGGAATTACCTGGGTCCCACTCAGAGGGTTCTGCTTAATGGGGTAGAGTGTGGCCAGGTGTCGGGAATTTTAAAACTCCTGGATGATTCTAACGTGCAGAGTCCACTGAGAGCTCCTGGTGGGCGGGTAGCTGCCTTCTCTGAGCCCAGTTTGTAGTTGAGCGTTGTTTTGAGTAATTTTGGTTCACTATCAGACTGATGTGAGCTCACTGCTTTTAATGGTCTGGTTTTTTATTTGTTGAGGGCCTGCCATGTGCCGCTGTGCTGTGAGGCCCTTTTATACACTGTCTTCAGACCTTGAAACTGCAGGGGAAGTGCTATTACTCCCAATGTACCAATGAGCAAAACTGAAGTTTAAGCAACTTAACTCAAGGATGTACAGCTCTTAAGTATCAGAGCTAGAACCCAAGTATTGACCAAAGCCTGTGCCCCTCCACTATACCGCATGGTCTCTGCCTGCATAAAAGTGACTTCTGTAAATACAACTGAATTATGCATGTCTATCTAATCAAGTTAACCTAAAATAGATGAGAAATTAGAATTCGTGCAAATGGGCACATATATATGTATATTTAAATTTGTGCTCTATAATCTTATGTGTGGAAGGCTAGACAAATGTAAGCACTTTTTAAAAAGTTGATTTTAAACTCTTGTAAATGTGAGAGTTATAGAATGATTTGAGGTTGATGTAGAATCATGGAACTTTAGAGCGGGAGGAGCACTTGGAGCCTGCCTCTCCTATCCTCACTTCACAGATGGGAAACAGGCCTGGAGTGGGAATTCACCTGCCACATACCATCTTGATTTGCAAATGGCCTGATTGCTGGCCAGGTGCTACATCCTCTAAATTAGGCTATTCCCAGTTGATCTTACTGTATTAAAAGAGAGGTCTGGCTGGATCAGCCTTTGAGCTACAAAAGCCTCATAGGTATGAAACAGATACCCATGCTCTACTTTCCAACGTAGACTAATACCAGGAGTGCAGTGGTTTGTCCAAGGTCAAGTTGGACTGAAACCTAGGTGTCCTGATTTCTAAGCCAGTGTTTCTTCTAGTAGCCAGGGCAGTGTAATTTGGTTGAAAGATCCAAAGAGACATAATCCAAGATCCGCCTCTAGGACCTTAGACTTGCCCTTTGTGTTTTTCAGATTCTTCATCTGTAAAATGCCCTCATGATAATGGTACCCACCCTCCCAGTACTGTCTGGAGGTTGGCTGAAATTACTTATATGAAATGCTTAACCCTTAGTGTGTTCTCAGGAAACACTTCCCTCATACCAGATGACTTAGGAAATGCCCCCAATGGGAGCTCAGGTGCTGCTATCTCAAGACCTAGATCTTGTTTTCTTGATATGAGGCTTATAACCTGCTTGGGGAATGCCACCAGCCTGAGCTAAGTAATGCCTGCAGATGGTTCCATCTCTTTAGAGGAAAGACAGAAATATTCAAATTGTGTACCTTTCTCCTTTCTGAACTTGTCAGTTTTACCTCTTGCCATAAATTGATGAAATGGAAATGCTGGCAAAATAACAGGTACAGGCTGTATTATCATTGCTTATTCCTTGGGAAGATCTAGAAGCAACTGGCTGGGAAATATTTAGCAGAATACTTGGGGACAAAGGCTGATGCGTAACAAAACCATGGTGTAAATCAAGCTTAGGATGTAAATCAAGGGCTCCATTAATATTCTGTTTTAATGGAAGAAACCCCTGCTGGGCTATCCATAAAGGAGCTTTGCAGAAATCTGTTGAAATTGTCCTTTGTTTAACTACCTGAGTGCCAGGCCTCTTCAGAGTTCCCACCATCCATTTCTACACCTAGGTGCTAGAATGCTTTTTCAAATGGGTTGTTATGCATCCAAGGGCATGTAAATCTTTTGTTTCAGAGTTAGAAAAAGTTTTTATTATTACAGAGTTTTCTATAATGTAGAAAATGGGAAAATATTTTTATAATGTTATTGCAAACTTAGGGAACATTTGAAGAAAATCAAGGTTCTTTATTTGATTTAAAATAATGGTTTATATCATAGTGGCCCAGACTAGAGACTTAAGTCAGACTTCTTGGGCCACTTGATAGCCATGTGACCTTGTGCAAGTATGACCTTCCTCATACTCCCACCCTTTCCTGCTCAGTAAAATGGGGACAGCAGTGTCTGGCTCACAGCAGGTGCTTGGTAAGTGGAAGCTGTCCTTGTTCGGTCAGTTAGCCCTTTGAACACCGTAGGTGGGTGGGTAGTGCATGTGGGCCCGCAGAAGGGGGTGGCACCTTTAGGCTCCCCACATTCAGACACCACTTTGGTGCAGGCATGGTGTCCACTCCTGTTAGACCAGCAGCTCTCAAGGCTGCTATGAGCTTCCATGGGTTGTTGCTAACTGAACGTCAGGCCTCTTAGACAAAGTGCTGAGTTCTTACAAAGAACCAAGCAGTAGTCTCTAGCTGGGAAGTGGGGGAGAGTGGCTCAGTATGGCCTCAGCCAGGCTTAGCATGGAGGCTGAACTTCAGCTTCCTGGCCACAAGCTGCGTGGTTCTTTATAAATATCCCACAGCAAGTTGCCCTTCAAAGACAAGGAAGCACACAGCACAAAACCTCACATTAGTCCATCTTAAGGTCAACAGCTGGTTTCAGTTTAATGATGTATTAGTTAGTTAGCTTTGCTATAGTAACAAACAACCCCCAAATCTCAGTGCCATTACTACAACAAACATTTACTTCTTATTCATGTTACAATCAGTGACTGCAGGGCAGCTGCTGCAGCTCTGCTCCACATCTTACCATCCTGGCACCCAGGCTAAAGGAACAGCCCCAATCTGGGAAATATGTTCTCATGGCAGAAGGAAAAGAACATGAACCTTCCACACCATGGCTCTTCAGGGAAGTACACTCCTCCCTGGGGGTGGGATGGGCACTGCAAGAAGTCACATGGCTACAGGTAAGGACATATAAAACCCTCTAGGTACAACTTATGACAGTGACTCAACATGCAAAAAAGTTTTCCAGGTTAAAAGGCACAAAATCCTAAAATATGAAAACTGGGGAAGAAGGTAGAGTCCACTATCCAAGTGTATCACAGTCTTCCATTTTGCAAAGATCAGGAAAATTGGCAAACCTTTTAGGGGTTCTGGAGGATCCCAGGTTGTAGGTGTTTATAGATGTAGAAAAGGACCTGGCTTTCCTGGCCCCATCTTACCCCAAGGTATCTACAGTATCCCCACAGAACCACCCTCCATGCTCATGAAATAACCAGAGGCCAGTGTCTCTCAGCTTTAATGCCTTAAAATTACATGTGTGGTTTGTGTATATGTGCAGTTTGAGGGGTAGCTTCTCCAAAGCCTCTAATTCCACAAAAGTTCAGAACCAGGTCACTGGATCCTGAGTCAGTCCAGTGAGTTTCTCAGGTCAGCTGCTGTGGTAACTGCAACAGATGGTGCCTTCAGAGATGGAGGCTGGTGGTTAACACAGCTCACAGTGAGTCCAAGGATGTCATGACCAAGGCACAGAGTTTTGTGTCAGCAGAGAAGAGTGAAGACTAGCTGAGGCTTAGCACTTTGACCAAAGAGGCTGCAGCTCAGAGATGTCAGCAGCTCCTCCCCACACACGATATGAGGAAGGACTGTCCACAGGATGCCAGAAAGTGTTGGATTCTAGGAGTATGTCCAGCAGATTCAAGTATGTTATATTCCAGGCAGGAGGAGGATCTGGGAAATCCAGGTAGCCTGGCTCTGCAGCCTGGCTTGGTCACTTTACCTGGTGTACCTTTCTCCCCCGGAAGTAATTTCTACAAAAAGGAGAGGATCCCACACAGATCAAAAATGCTGGTGTCAGGGCTTTTACAAAGTACCTGCAATGAACACAACAAAAAAGAGGGGTTAATTGAATTGCAATCTTAATCATCCATGGACCTTCACAACAACATTCAAGGTGAACCTTTGGATGTTAAGTCAACATTAAAATGCCAGGTTAGCACATTTATTTGTTGGGTTGTTTATAAATCTGGCAAATCAGCATGACCCCACCTCCTTATAACCTAGCCAGACCCTTTGGGCCAGTCCTCTAGTATTGAGTGTTGGTAGCTAAACATGACATAAAACTTTAAGTACATGCTTTCATGCATTCATTCATTCATTCATTCATTCAATATTGACTACCCAGGGTAAGCTAGGCACTGTGCTGAAAACAGAGATTAAAAAACAAACAAAAACCACTGTCCCTGCTCTCAAGCCCTAAAGCGGGGGAGATAAACAATTCATGACAGCAAGGTACAACTGTAGAAGCACTGGTGAGATACAGCATTAGCCCAAGTGGTGTTATTCCCGCTATGGGAAAGGGGACTCAGGAAAGGCTTCCTGGAAATGTCGTGTCTGAGCTTGACTTTAATTTGGAAAAGGGGCCATGGTGGGATATGGAGGAGTAAAGCTAGGCAATGCAGGTCACCAGAATATTTGCTATTGTTGGGCATGAAGCAAATGGAGTTGGTCAGGTTGGAGAAACAGGCAAGGCCTTGGCCTCTCAGGTTGAGAAGTGTTAGCATTACCCAATGTGCTTGGATTTGTACAGAGGGGCCTGTATCTTGGCTCCACCTAGTCCAGGGTCCAAAGTTGCTGGAAACCTGTCCTGGGTAGCCTCTTGTCTATACCAGTCATTTAAAAAGCAATCGCTTCTAACAGCATTTACATTTTCTGAGAAGCATGAAATTGGTTCTCCACAAGTCAGTCTGCTTTCTGTTTAGATTCACACCCCCCCCTTTTTTTTTTTGAGAATGGGAGAGAGTGAACCTCAGGCCTTTAAAGAATCTAGGTAATTTGCTAATAACTGAAAAAATAAACAGCTAAAAATCTGTCAATAAAGTAGAGAGGAGATTTGGGGCCAGAAAAAAACACTGCCAAGAGAAGTCATTGATCATATTTAAAGAAATCTTCACCTTCTGCCTGTCAACCCAAAACAGAAGGACAAAGACCAGCTGGACACCCCTACTGAGTCAGTCACCATATCACCAATTCCCATCTCAGCTGCCTCCTAAACCTCTCTCCAGTCCATCCCCTATTTCAGGTCCCACCATTGACTAGTACACTTAAAATCTGTGTATCACTGTATAAATTTTACAAAAACAAAAAACCTCTGTGGCTTCATACACCATCATTAGAATAAAAGTCATGTTCCCTAGGCAGAACATTCAAGGCCTTCACACATGGCCTTAACCTAGCTCTCCAGTCTCATTTCCCACCACACTCAACCACCTTCATTCCCCTAACACACTAGGCTCTTTGAGCCTAAATGCAAGAGCATTTGCTTTGCTCAAAGCTCAGGGAAAAGCAGTCCAAGAGTCAACTTACACATCTACTGAGGGGATTCTTTACAGTCCAGGAACACCCCAAAGCAGGAAAAAGTGACAACTGCCAAATCCAACTGGCTGCCACTTACTAACAAAGGTGCTCTCTTAGAGCAAGACCATCCTTTACAGTTTACAAAAAGCACTTTGTCTCCTACTCTCTCATCAGCACTCAAATACTAAGTATGTAGGCAAGAGTTGTTATTCCCATTTTAAAGATGAGGAAATCGCCCCAGAGAGGTAGTGCTTAGTCACACAGCCAGGAAATGATGGTGTCTGACTTAAAGAGCCAATGTTCTTTCCATATAACAATACCAGGGGACAAGGCACAATTGGGAGCAGGCACAACTGGGAGCCATCTCAGCTGTCTTCAGGCAGCCTTTCCCTCCTCAAACCAGTCCCATTCACACCTCCCAGTCTGAGGTACCATGGCTGCAGTGCAATGAGCTCAGCCATCACACTGCCACCTGTTTGGCAAATGGCTGGGCCAGTCTCCATGATTGCCATCTCATGGTTTTGTGTCCAGGGCAGAAGGTAGAAGTACGAGGCAATTAGTGGGATGAGAATCTGGCTATATCCCTGGGATGGTGAGTAAGCATCTTCCCTGTTCTCAGCCCCATAAAGTAACTCACCTGGGATGCTGTAGCACCTGCAGCAGGGTGCACTTGGGAGGCACCCGGTACAGTTCTGCCCTGTCTTCATCCTCAAAGTAGACCTGCAAGATTAACAGAGGAGCAGGAGTGAGATACAGACAAATGGCTGCAGCAACCTCAGGCATGTTGAGGCCAAGTCTAGGGAAAAGTTAAAGAGATAGTGACTATTACTACCTTAATGCCTCCTGTACAGAGCTGTGGAATATAAAGCACCACGATACTAAGAAAGGTATTACCAGCTCCATTTTCCAAAGACAGAAGAGGTTCAGCGAAAGGAAATAACTCACCAATGAAACCCAGCCAATAAACAGAGGAGCCAAGACTCAATCCCAGGCCTATGAGCCTTCCCTTCCCCAACAATTCAGTCCTAGAGCCAGTAGGTGTTGTGTTAAAGGTTTGATAAACAATGAGATATAATTTACATCATTTCAAAATAACTCCCTATAAAATACTAATTACAAAGGGAAAACAATTAACTTTACAAGACTGTCCGACACCCCACCTCAATCAGGTGATCAAAGTGCATGTCACAAAGGGAAAACAATTAACTTTACAAGACTGTCCGACACCCCACCTCAATCAGGTGATCAAAGTGCATGTCATCAGTAATGGGACAAATTGAAATCAAGTGCAACTGATAGGATACAAGACACAGCATCACTTCTGTGATATTCCAGTCAAATCAAACACGCATAAACCACATCTAGACATGAGAAAACAAAGACAAACACACACTAATGGACTTTCCACAAAATACCTGGTCTGTAATCGTCAAAAGTGATAAAATCAAGAAAATCAAAGCAAGACTGAGAAACTCCTCCATAGCCTGAAAGAGAGTGACTAAAGGGACATGACCACTAAACACAAAATAAAATGTGGGATTCTGAACAGGTCTGTTTGCTATAAAGTTCCTGATTTTTTTATAAAGCAACGAAACCCCACCCCCCTCAAAAAATCCCATAGAGGAACATAGTGATCACTTATTAAGTTATGTAATGTCTGGTCATTGGGGTGTACACCTGAAACTAATATAACGATGTATATCAACTGTAAATGAAAATAAAAAATGATTTTTTAAAAATCCCAGAGGAACAAAATAAAACTTCTCTTACCTCTAAATTATCAGGACAGTATTTTTGCTCCAAATCCCAAGAGGGTGTTTCACCAAACATCACCATTAGATGATCAATAAACCTAAGGATATAACATGTACTTTCCGGGTATCAGTAACTCAAGATCTACTTTCCCACATCATAGTCCCCAGACACCAAATCACAGAGATAACAAGAATGCATAAAACATGAAATGCTGGTGTAAGCCATTTTGAAAACAGTGCCCAAAATGTGTATGTGTATCACTTGTCCTATTATGACATAGTCATTTTCTTTAATTTCTTTAAATTAATTTAAAGTAATTTTCTTTACAGTTAAGCCTGACTCAAGCTTAACAACATTCCTCACATTTAGCCACATTCTAAGCATTAACCCTAGATTACATGTTAAAACTGCTAGTTATATTTTTTCTAGTAAATGTACATTTAAATTACTATGCATGTACTACCTACAATGATTTCATACTTCACCAGATATGTACAAACACTGTACTGCAGTGTTACACTTACTAGCCCCGTCGGTACAATGGTGAGACTGTGTCTGTCATTGCAAAGCTAGTTAGCAAAGGGAGGAATCAGCTACAGGATAGAGATTGTGCCAAACCAGACTGAAATACTCTATACAATTCTCTTTCCTCCTCAACCAAAAATCCACCTGTGCCTCCTGCAGAGACAGCAGGAAATTAGCATGCAAGCAAGAACAGAGGGTTCTTGGGCAAGTAAGTACCTGGAGTCCTCATGAAAAGCAGATATGAAGTCCGATTGGGCATACTCCGGGTATAGAAAGAGCACAGGCCAGCTCAGTCTGCCCTGGTCATCTATACTCAGCCTGGCTCCAGAGGGGTTCTCAAAGCTGAGCCCATTCAGGAGTTCACTGAGGCCTTCTGAGGCTGAATCTTCATCCTCACTGGCAGCTTCAGAGACTAGCCTGATGTTCCTAGCCTGGGGTAAAAACAAACACACAGAAAACTTATTGTGTGGAAGGATGCAAACCCATTTCACTAGAACAGGAAAACCACAACACTGCAAGCTTCCTGATTCATCTTCATTATCTCGGAAGCCTAGCACTTGTAGGCATCACTTCTTTAACTCAACTTCCCTGGACATCTACCACAACAGAGACAAACTAGACATGGTTCCTGTCCTCAAGACCCTGCTCATGGTCTAGTGGGGAAATAGCTATGGAAATAAGCACAATATACAGTAAGAAGTAAGGCTGTGGAACTGCAGACCATGAATAATTAATTCAGTCTGGGGGCTAGAGGTGACTGGGGAATGCTAGGCCTTAAACAAAGACTTTGAAAGGCATAGAAGTAGGAGTAGGGAAAGGTGGAAGGGCATTCCACTCCAAAAAACAGCATGTGCAAAGGCACAAAGTTCAAGAGTGAAGAGTGTGGCATGTACAAAAATGGCAAATGCTTCAGTTTAGCCAGGACATGGCACACTAAAAATAATGCACATTGACTTAATCTTGACTATCTTACGGAAATAAGGATAAATCTAAGATCTGAATAGTAGTCACCTCTTATGTATGTGTGTGGAGATTCCTAAGGCTACAAATGAGGGGAAAATTATATGTAATCAAAATTGCCTTTGATGGTATCTCCTAAATCAGGGGTTGGCAAACTTTCCCTTAAAGGGTCATATAAGAAATATTTTAGGCCGTGTGGGTCGCTGTTAAAGTTAACTATTCAACTCTAGCACTGTAGTATGGAAACAGCCAGAGGTGACACATAAACAAACGGGCAGGGCTGCAGTTTGCTGACCCGCTTTAAACTATTGGTAAAACAGAGTATGTAGGCCTTTGTGTGTACACTGTCTGTAGTACAGTGAAGTTTCTGAGACTCCAGAGCCCCTTCATCACACTGTTTTACCAAAGTAGAAAGAAAATAAATTAATTCAGGTAAAGCATCTCAACAAAGGTTCCCAAGAGGCCTTAGGATTAGTGGATTTAGCAAGACCATAAGGGCCTAAGATTTGAGAACTCACCTTCACAGCCTGGAGTAAAGCCTCATTCTGATTCCGCTCCTTCTTTTCTTTCAACTTTGCCTTCCTTATATCCCTTTGTTCAGTTCGCTGAAAATAAAATTCAGATGCATCGGCTCTAGGGAACTTGCTTCCTCTTGTTACCTCAGCCTGCTTCTAAGTTACTCTCTGGTCTCTATTCAATTCAGGCTCCTATGTCAAGGGATACCAGTGGCTGAATTCAGTTCAATAAACATTTGAAAACCTACAGTTCCTGTACCCAATGAACTCACAGTAAGTAGTGAAACATTTTTAAAGGCAAACTCCCCTTCCCCATAGCAGTTTATTTTACAAAATGGGTTCTCATCCATTCATATTATCAATTATTATTTTTCTTATAAATGAAGGTAATGAAACACTGGCATATCAGCACACTGCATTCTCCTCTACAATTCACATTAATAACAAAAATCATAGTGTGCATTAAAGCATTTCAGTAGCCTAATGAGAAAGCAGATAACTATTTTTTCTGAGAGAACACTTTAGCATTAAATATTTTTAGACACAGAGGTATAATCTGACACCAAAAGCAATATGGATTTAGTTTGCTAGTATGTTTGAAATTTTACTAATTTGCTAACTTGGTACTACAAATTAAAGTAGTGGTCGGTATAAAAATTCAGATAGGCAATCATTTATAAACCTGGCAGTATTTATGTGTAATCCTGTAGAGGTGTTAAGGTTTTAGATGGAATGATAGAAGGTTTGGACGTTTTCTTTGTAGGATGTCAGAGTGTAAAGGATTATTTTGAGGGGGTGAATGTACCTTCATTCATTAGCTTAAAATCAGCCTAGTAATATCTAAATACTTGCTCAGGAATAAACATTGGGATCTGCAATCAGAATTTATGTTAAACTGAAATGCATCTCTTCCATTAGTTTTGGGAATCTCCTCTCCCTCCCTTTTGAAATGTATAGAACACAGAAAACTGTAATGGATTACTTTTCAGATAAAAAAGTCACATTTAAAAAAACTTTAAAATCAAATATTTACATGTTATGTACATTTAATCAGAGCAAAGTATTTAATCTAATCTGGTTCTTCCACCTCTAAGTAGAGAAGTGTGTAATCTCCCAGTGTTACCATTCTTACATTTGTTGTTCCAATGTGTTACTTTATTATCCACAGCTAACAAGGCTTTCACACAGCAGTAAGTAAACCTTTATCAAGTTGATTCTGTACAACAGAAGTATATTTTCAAAGACATATGCCCTTGTACACTATTTACAAATTCTCTTGATCATGATAAAAAATAAAAAGCTAAATAAATAAAAAGCAGAAAGAAAGGAAATGCTGATGACGCTTGAGGCTTTTTGTTTTATCTCCCCAAACAGATGCTGGTCTTCTCAGTGCTGGGAGCTGGCTAGCCAAGATTTTCTTCCTTTTACATGGGCTACGTGAGGGATCTGTTTTCAGTTCTTGGTATTATGCCGCATGTACATCTGAAGGGACTCTGGAAGGAAGTCAAGTAGCTCAGTGTTATCAACTGTGTAGGGACACTGAAGCTTTTTTTGTCGATTTATTGATGCCCCAGGCAAGGACAGTGTATCAGGAATGAAGTACAGGATGACTGTGAACACACAGTGGGCTATGATGGCCAGCCAGCTTAAGAATGGGACCATCCTTGCCCTGGCCAGTGTGGCTCAGTAGTAGAGTATTGGCCCCCACACTGAAGGGTCGGGGGTTCGATTCCCAGTCAAGGGCATGTACCTGGGTTGCAGGTCAATCCCAGGCCCCAGTTGGGGCATGCGCGGGAGGCAACAATTGATGTTTCTCTCTCTCTCTCTCTCTCTCTCTCTCTAAAAATCAATGGAAAAAATATCCTCGAGTAAGGATTAACAACAACAACAACAACAAAAGAATGGGACTGTCCAGTTGAAAGCATTCTTTAGCCTTTCATCAAAGGAAGCCACCTCACCTAGAATGTTCTGCACACTGATACATCCCTCCTGGATGGCACAGACTTTATTTATAAACCCTTTTTTTACTGTCCTTGTCATCTTCTCCTTCCTCATCCTCTAGCCTGTCCTCCGCTATTGTATCACATTGCCTGTTATCTTTCCCTGATATTATCAAGAAGTAGTTTCGTGTCAATAGTAACAACAAAACCAGTGGTATAACGTAGAGCTCAAAGTTCCAGAAAACAAAGAGAAAGAGCATGCCTTTTTCCTCCTCTTCCAGCAATTTCTGGTTTCTTTCTTTGGTCTTTTGAAACTCTGCCTCCTTTCTTCTCTTGGTTTAGTTCTTCCTTCTCCAGTGTATTCTTATTTTATTTATTTATTTAATTGATTATAATGGTGGTATTTTACATGGTGTGTAGCCGTGATGTACTTTCATTGCAAGATACTGTCCAGTAGAGGTAAGAATATTGTAGCATCTTACTTATTAGGCATTTAAATTTGTTGTGTTTGTTGAATGATTACCAATCATCCCATTTGTTAAGAGGCTCGCTTTGTGCATGAGAGGGAGGAGCAAAAGGAATGGTGACAGCAAGTGGAGAGTTGGCTACACCTGGAAGACAACTTGGATACCTCCTCCCAGCTGGAGAATTACCTTGCACTGCTCCGGAATATATAAAAGACACATTAGTCTGTAACTTACCTACTTTTGTCTCTAGTGATTTAAACTTAGCCTCCATTAACTTGGCCACACTATCAGTTGCACCTAGGATAAAATCAATTCTCTCCAGTAGCTGATCTCTAATTTCCTTTATGTCAGTTAATACATCACCGGTCTCTTCACTTGACTAGCTTCCAGGTGGCTCTACGTGTTTCCTTTTTACTCTTGTCATTTGTAGAGTCAGCTCATCTGTTGACACTGCTTCCATCCTTATTTCTGTTTCTGTGACAGCTAGAGATAGACCTTGGGTCACACTTCTTGGGGTGTGTCATCCAGGAATGCTGGTGGGTCTCTTTATGCTGGATCTTTCAATGGACCTGCCTGATGAGGGTTCGTTCACTCAGACATCATGACTGATGATGGTCTACCTGGGCAGCTCTGCGAGGGCTCAGATATCTTGGTCAGAAGTTTTTGGTCCTTGGTTTTTGTTTTTAAAGAAGAAAAAGTTTACAATAACCAAAAAGACACAATCTGGGGAATGCCAATTCATTACTACTAATTAAATGCCAAGCAGCTACTGATTTTGCCACCAACCTTTAGTCTGTCTGCTTTAACCCTCATTTCCAGAAGCTTCTTCTCTTTGGCATCTATCTGCAGCCCGTCATCGCACCAGTTCACAGCCTCAGCAAAGTTTTTCAGTTCCAGATGGCATAAGGCACCTGCAGAACCCAAAACCCTTAGGATCCATGGACAACATGCATGGGAGCCCCCCTTGAGGAGGACCCCCCC